GGAGGAGCAAAGCGGCCCTTCAAACTTGATAAATGGCAATTACCAAGTTTTAGAAGTAAATTTGACAAGGCTAACTTTTTTGTAAGTTAGAATGTAACTTTTTTGTTCATAGGCTCCCCATTTCTTTTAAAGAATAGTCTACTACACCATTCTTGTGTTGTAATTTGTTGTAACTCTGAGGTTTTGGCCTAATCTTCCTCTTTTTACATGATATATACAGCACTTACCCTGCAACATGCAGGGCAGTATTTAACCCAAAAAAAAAAAGATAGACATACTTTCATAAGTAGTCCGTTCAAAAAAAAATAACATATTTTTATATTTAGAAACAATTTAACTTTAAACTTTTTATTCTACCCACTTTATCTTTAATGAGAAACTTTTATAGTCATACAAATATCATGGACCCACTAAGCTTTTGCCCCTAAACCTTTTAGCATCACATGTTTCGAAAATTTTCTTTTTTTTCTCTTAAACTTTGTATCAAGTCAAACTATATCATCTAAAATAAAACATAAGGAGTAATATTTTTTCATTCAATCTATTTGTTTATCTAAATTAAAAAGACGAATTACCAACTGTAGCCCAAAACTGATTAAACCGACCAAATATTTACCTTGGACCGTGTAAATATTAATACATTTATGTTCAGAATGGTGTGGCACCTGGAACCTTCAAATTTTGAATCTGCCTTCATTAATATGACCTTTCTTGTAGTACTTTTAAGCTTTACAATATTTAGAAAATGAACCAGTAATACCAGTTCACCTGTTTGGCTGTTTCTGAGAGATAAACTTCTGAATTTTTGCCACGAGTGGGATGCCATGAACATCTCGTGACTGAAATATGGAACAGCCGAAGCTAGAAAGTATAAGGACCCTGTTAAAGAATAAAACTAAGAAGACTTTATAGGTGTTATGTTTGCTTAAAAGATGGGACATATTTTATTCTTTATTTCTGGTATTCCATGATCATCAATTAGGTTCTTCAAAAAATTCACGAGATCTTACGACGTAACGAAGGTCAAAAGCTATAAAGAGAAGAAGAGTTTGATTTTTTTTTCTTTTTTAGCAAAAAAAAAGAATTTTAAAGATGCAATTAAATATTATTCCTAACATTTAGCTTTCCTGGGGATAGGAAGTAAGAGCCACGGCGACATCACTCTTTAGCTCCCATCTGTGCGATCGAGGTGATTTTCATGGGTGATCATTCAACTTTGTATTCATTATCCAATTATCACTTTTTTTTTTGTTACGTAAAAGTTATTTAACTTTATGTTTATTACCCAAAAGTCATTTTCTTTCTTTTGTTACACAAAAATTATTTTACTATGCTCTAGTTATCACAATAATCATTTTGACGTGATTTTACAAATTATTCACCTTAAAAGTTTATTATGCCCTTGACATTACAAATCATCCCATTTATGTAATACATTCTATATTATATGCTTAAAATATACTTTTACCCAGGTATTTTATTTATAATTAAAATAACTTTATATTATTTTATTTATTATTTTTATAATATATTTGTATATTTATTTTTTTCTTAACATTAAATTTTAAGATACATGAGTAGGATTATTAAATTTGTCAGTAATATTACCGTGAAAAAAAACTCAAGTCCTTGTTCTTAACCAAGCTTAATAAAATATTTTTAATAAAAATTAAAAAATCAAAGTTTACTGATTTATCAGCCAAGCCATACTCATTAATCCAATAAATAAAATACCCATATTTAGCACAATGATACATCAGATTAATACTTTCAAATAAATAATATTAACATATAAAGCTTTAAAAATCTTAATAATAAACACAAATATCTTTGAATTTTTTTAATAAATCTTTTTTGACTATAAAAATTATCATTTGTTAAACAAATTTGTTTGTTATTATTTCAAATAAATATTAAAAATAAATATTTTTTATTGTTTTTATATTTAAAATATGTTCATGTTTAAATATGATTAAACAAAGTGATGCCATGAAAAAATTAAATGTATGAATATATTATAAAAATAACAAATAAAATAATTTAAAGTTATTTTAATTATAAGTAAAATATCTAGGTAAAAATATATTATATAGTATATCATATAGAAGGTATTATATAAATGAGAAGATTTATAATGCCAAGGGCATAATAGACTTTTCAAGTAAAAGTATTATAAAATCTGGTCAATGGGACTTTTGTGATAAATAGAGCAAAGTAAAATAATTTTTGTGTAACAAAAGAAAGAAAAATGACTTTTAGGCAATAAACACAAAATTGAATGATTTTTACGTAACAAAAAGAAGAAAAATGACTTTTGCGTAATGAAAACAAAGTTGAATGACCACCCATAAAATTTACTCTTTATTATTTTAAAATTTACAGTATAGAATTTAATAATATCAGATTAATCAAACCTAGCTGCTGCTACTACTACTAAATAACCTTAGCTTTTATAATCTATTGAATAATATTGATAATATAGAATATCTTACATTGTTTACGTATTTAATTTGAAAAATATATAATCTAAACATCGTATATATGTATAATTTAAACAATATATAATCTCTTTAATTAGGTGTGTGGCACGACAAAAGACATAATCCAAGAAAATATATTTCATGATATAAAGTCATTTTCTTGTACTCCGCATGCCCCAATTCATGTGGCATAATTTCTTTAGGCACGGAGCCTAAGATATGGTCTAAATTAAATTTTAGGTATTTATGTGACAGTAAATTATCTTATTAAGGGTGTAAAAATAAATTTTAAAGTTAAATTATTTATATTTATATATATATNCAACTATCTAAAACTTCGTAAACGAACTTTGCGGACAACTAAACTAGTCTTAAAATGCATATGTTGACTTTCAGGTCCTTTGAAACCGCTAACTAAATTCAAGAAACGAATAATCTGCGAACTTATTAACATAATGTCAACCAATCATATATATATTTTATTCGTTTTATTTTATGTCACATTATTTTCTTATTTATTCGTGTAAAAAATAACATATTTTATATTTAGAAATAATAATTTTATTGTAAATTAAATAATATATTTTTATAGCCACATAAATATATGATATGTCTAGAAGCATAAATTTTAAATTTATTTTTTTAAAAATATTGATGTCATATCAAACTAACTCACATAAATTAAATCAAGGAGTAATATTTTCTAAGAAATTTGTCTATGAATATTCCTTCTCTACATTGACATTAAGCATACCTTTCAAGTCTAAGCTTTCATTTAACCAATATTTATTTGGTAGTTTGGTTTATGTACTTCTGCTCTAGACACAATTTTAACTGAGGAAGACATAAATAACTCCTATCAAAATTTATTTTAGGTATACTTAGCCTTAAAATACCTATTCAGCCTCAAAAGTCAGAACCTTATTGATTATTCTTTGAGGGGGCCATTTAATAAACACAGATTTTTCTTCTTTCCAACGCTATAAATATATCCAAAAGAAACACCCCATTGTCTATCCTTAGAGCAATTTTCTTTAAAAAGCCACCCTGAGGCGTGACTTCCAACTACCTGCGACATTTGCCACTTATATTATATTACGCATTTACCCCTCATTTTTTCTATCACTCGAGCAACCACCTTTGCCTTTATCAACTACTATCCATCTTATCCGGAGTCACATCTAAAATTTTATGGATTTATATCTATTATTTATTATAATTTTAAAAAGTATTTATGCATAAAGTTATATTTCGCGTCAAAAACTTTAGGTTCAAATGAACCTGGTATGCGAAAGCTACTTCTGCCTCTTGAATTCTTCTCGGCTGCTTTTCACACAAATAGCTTTAGTTAAATTCTTCACACTTCCTGAGGAAAATGAAGCATAAGAGAAATATGTTTTGTTTCATCTTGTGCTTATGTTATTTCATGTCAGAAACTGGCACTGTCTCAGCCCTGCGTTAGGAACCAAACATGACACTGGAAATTGTATTGTAAACAAGTTATGGAGAATAAATACTCCTAAGTCATTATAGTTACTATGCACTATAATTACTAGGTTATTTAATTATTGCCCTAGTAACTACTAGCCTAATAATTTTACAGTTATTTTCAGATACCCTTAATCTTTTTTTCCTCTTCATGGAGAAGGGGAAGGGGACGAAAGGTACTAAACTAAAAGGAACCAAGAAAGGACAAATCCATTTGTTATTCTGTATATTTCAATTTACGTAATGCATTTTAATTAGATACGTAGTTAGAAAGATGTTTTTGTTTGAAATTTGTAGTTTAAAATAAAGCATAAATATTCATGTTATTATAAATTATCTCATTAAAAATAAAGTAAAAAGCTTAAAATAAAATTATTTTAAAATACATATATTATTCTTTTTAGGATAAATTAAAAAATAATACTAACACATAAGTTAGGTGTATACTTAGTAGATTTTGATGCTAGAGGGAGTCCAATTCGTCTCATTGAAATGCTACATTATTATAGAATTCATTTTATTTTCCACTTGGCGGACCAGTAGGATAGCTTGTTATTTTGATTTACCACGTGTATAAACATTTCCTACGGTACTCCTAGGGAACTGAATCAGCACGTTAAGTCCCTCTCAGCCTCTCTCTGGTGATCCTGGATAAGTATTAGTAATAAAATAATAGTATTCTTTTTTTAGCAAAAAAGATAATAACCTTACGAGAAACATATGCGTAATAACATGATCAATTATAAGGTATAGTATATACTTTCTCCTTTTAGCAAGCCAATCGAACGCTATAAAAATATCCAAAAGAAACGGATCTGGCTCCTCTGCAGCGAGCCATCTTTCCATTTCGCAGTTGCCTCATGAATATCTCGCACGTGCCCCGTTCGAAATTTAAGGGACAAGCTTTATTTGATTAATAACTGCAACCTTAACTTAGGTTAACATTATAATAATTCTCTCCACCGCATTAGTTAATAGTTATCCATTAGGCCTTTCTTTATTTCGTTTCAGCAATTTTCTTTTAAAAGCCACCCTGTAAAGTATGACTTCCAACCGCCTGCAGACATTTGCCCTTTATATTCATTTGCCCCCCACTTTTTCTCTCACTCAAGCAAACCATCTTTTGCCTTTACAACTATCCATCTCCTCTTTCTTTCACACAAATACACCGGAATCTTAAGTCAAATTCTTGAGGAAAATGAAGCATAAGAGAAATATACTCTGTTTCCTCTTTTGCTTATTTTGTTTCATGTCAGAAACTGGCACAGTTTCAGCCACACGCCCGTTGAACTCAAATGTCGAAATCAGTCCAACGTTAGCGATATTACTCGCTTGTCTCGTATTATTCTTGTTGGCCGTTATCTTCATATATATACGTCGTATGAGCCCTGATTCCTTTGACGAATCAATGGGTTTTTACTTCTTTCGGCAGCGACCAGTTTCCCGTGGAATCGAGCCTAATATCATCGAAACTTTGCCGGTATTCGTGTACTCCGATGTCAAAGCCCTAAAGATAGGCAAATCTATCCTAGAATGTGCTGTTTGCCTAAACGAGTTCGAAGATGAAGATACGCTCCGCCTTCTTCCTAATTGTTGCCACGTGTTCCATTCTGAATGTATTGATGCTTGGCTTGCCTTTCGTACCACTTGCCCAGTTTGCCGTGCAAATCTCAAAACAAAACCCGTGGGTAAACTTCAAGAATCAATTCAAGAAACAGATGACGTTGAGTCTCAGAATGTCAGCTCGGATGCATCACATCCAGCACCAGAAGAAGTAATAAACCAGTCTTCTCAAACGCCGCCCGTTCATAATCATACTCCAAATAGTAGCAGTAAGGCGAGAAGTAAGACACCTGATTTTCGGCACCTTGCACCAAAATCAACACCGAGAAGGCCAAAGATTTTTGGGATGTTCAGTCGATCTCACTCGACGGGTCACTCGTTGATTCAACCTGGTGAGAATTGCGAGAGGTTTACTCTAAGGTTACCTGATGATGTACGTAAAAGATTGATAGACTTAAGCTTGAGTAGAGCCTACAATGGCGCCGTAGCTTTTTCTCCAGCGAGAAATTCAACTAAGGGGTACCGGTTCCAACCGGAGGAGGGCCGGTTAAGCTTGAGTAGGGCATCCAATGGCGCCGTAGCCTTTTCTCCAGCGAGAAGTTCAACTAAGGGGTACCGGATCGAACCGGCGGATGGTCGGTTAAGCAAGCTCCGGTTTCTACCGACACCGCCTATGTTCTCTAGATCCGGTTCGTCGAAAGAGGAGAAGGGTGAGAAACAGCCGAAGAGTCTGCTGAAGTCCGTTAAGTCAGTTAAGTCGCCGTTAAGTTTGTTTTGCGGGACGGAAAAGGACGATACAGGAGAAAGATCTTTTACTTATTTAAGATCAAGTAGTACTTCAAGTTAGATAATTTTCCATTTCTTTTTATTTGGATCTCACATGGACGAGCTTGCAAGGCAAAGCCTCATCATGAATCCGTTTACTTTTTCCTCTCCTTTTTTTTTCACACAATTAATTATGTTGTATATAGCTATTGGATAGTGGAGGCGTCACAATCAATGAATTGGTTTCTTTTCTATAATTATGAGTTTTTCTGTCGGTTTCTTCTCGTTCTACACAACACTTTCTATAATTGGATCTGAGAGCTTTGGTTGTTTTACACAACACTTTGTACACAATGAACGATGCAGTTCCCGGCCAGCTGGGTCGGTATGATATAATATTTAAATATTTTGGTTTGATATTTTCGGTATTCGATTTTTTAAAATATTATATCGATATAGTATCTAATTAAATTCAGAATGTTACAGTTTTTCTTCTTTCGGTTTCGGTTTATTCGGTTTGATTAATAACAAATACATAGAGTTATAAACTATAATATTCTTAATTAAAATGCTCAAAAGTACAAAACTAAAAACGCTTGCTGATAAAAGTTTTATCCAAAACCAACAAATATCAAGAAAACTGCACATATAGTGGCGGAGCCAAGATCTCTGCGAAGGGGGTTCAAGAAAAAAAAGATCGTAGCTTGTTAAAATTTAACCTATGACCTTTCAAAGATTTTGAACCCCCTTAACCACTAAGCTACACTTTTGGGCTTTGTCAAGGGGGTTCAAAACTTAATAAATATATAGGTAAAAAAAAAATTGCCTTATATATATAGTGTAATTTTTCGGTGAAGGGGGTTCGGGCAAACCCCCTTCCGCCCCCCTAAATCCGCCCCGTGCACATAAAGGAATAAATTTGATCATTAGAAATATTTTTTTATTTGTTTAGAGTTAATTGATGAACTTAGAGAATAAAATAAAGTAAAAATTTAGTTTTTTTATATTTATGTTATAATTAATAATATGTGTTTTGTGTAATATAATATATATTTCAGTACAGTATCGGTATTTCGGTATTTTATTTTAAAATACCAAATACCATACCCAATATCATAATTTTTAAAAGCTTAAACCAAATACCATACCAAATACAAAAATATCGAATACCAAATACCATAAATTTCGATTTCAGTACGGTAATTCAATATTTACCAAATTATGCACAGCCCTAATTGCAACACCATAAATATCCCAGTGTATTTCCACATGTGGGATTTGGGTTGCAGGTCCCTTGAGAAATAAGTAATCCCTCTGTTTCAATTTAGATGACATATTTTTCTTATTAGTCCGTTCCAATAAGAATGACACATTTCTACAATTGAAAATAATTCTAACTTTAAATTATTTATTTTACTCATTTTACCCTTAATGAGAAGCTTTCATGATCACACAAATATCATGGTCCCACAAAACTTTTACCCCTTACACTTTTAAGATCACAAGTTTCAACAGTTTTTTTTCTTCTTAAACTCTGTGCGAGTCAAACTATCTCATCTAAATTGAAACATATGGAGTAATAAATAAAGTATATATTTTACCATAATACCCATGATAATATTGATAGTATTTTGAGAAGTCCTAGAAAATAATTTGAGAAACAAGTAATTAATGATAAGGAGAAAACTAAAAAAAATATAGTATTTTTTTATTTGCTAAAATTAACAAGTAAAAATAAATATACTTTTAGTATAGTAACAAGTAAAATCGAACAAAGGAAGTAATTTTATTTGAAGTTAGACAACATGCCCTACAATTTTCCTTCCATATCAAGTTTCTACTAAAGTTATAAATTTATTTAAAAAATATAAACGTCAATTAGTAAATCGTAGAGAAGATTTGGTCATGTAGTCCATTGTCAACCGTCCTAGAGACTAAACTCGAAGCAACCCATTGTGTAGCCGATCTCAAAAAAATAATCGAAAAAATCTCTCTATATATATATATACACACACACATTTATATATGTTATATACTAAAATTATATAAATTTTATACACTTTTACGACTATCGGATGTAAATAGTTTCAGCTATGTTTACCCAAAAAAATGGTACAGTTGAATTTGTAATGCGGTTCATAAACACGTGGATTAAATTGATCCGATAAAATAAAATAACAAAGAACAAAGCGAGTAAAATAATGATAATTGAAGAAAAGACAAGTCTGAGCTTTCAGAATATTTTCATCGGGATCAAGAATAATTGAAAACTCTTGACAATACTTGTATAAAGCTTAAGAGAATGAGAGAAAGAATATTAGTCTTTTTCTATCGTTATTTCTTAATGTCTTACAATAGAATGAAAGCCTCTATTTATACTAGAACTATGATTACAAGTCATATCCCCTTAACTACCATAATAAAAGGTAATTAAAAGGTGATATAGGTAATTAAAAGGTGATAAAGAATAATAAAAGGTAATAAAGCCTAATAAAGGCCGGAGAGATCTTGGGATCGTTTGTAACTGTCACGACCCCAAATTCCCTCTGTATGAGGTCGTGATGGCACCTAGACTCTAAGACTAGGTAAGCCTATCAATGCGGAATAATCATAACTATCTGAAATAAATAAACTACAATTCAAATAATTACAACTCCCAAAATCCGGTAAAAATAAGTCACAAGCTTCTAAAAATTTATTCTCAATGTTTCTATGTATCAAGGTCTAAAGAAAAATAAGGAAGCAAATTAAAAATGATAGAAGGGGACTCTAGAGTCTGTGGATGCTGGCAAATATACCTCAAAGTCTCCGTGCGCAGGTAACTCACTGACGTCTAGACTGGTAAGATGTACCTGGATCTCCACAAAAAGATGTACAGAGGCGTAGTATGAGTACACCACAGCGATACCTAGTAAGTGCCAAGCTTAACCTCGGTAGAGTAGTGACGAGATCAGGTCAGACCTCACCGAGCTTTCATAATTTATTTAAAGAAAATATTTTTTCCGAAATAGCATCTCGCGTTTTAGCCACCCTTATCACTCCGCATGACTTCTAGTAGTCACCCCTACTAGCCACACGTATCAAGCCACCCTTATCTCACCGCATGCGTTTCAATACCCAGATCTTATACCACCGCATGCGTATCAATATCACAATTTGCACCTCAAGTGCCCAATATTTCAATTTTCTAAAAATAAATCAACAACAATATTTTTCAATAATAAAGAGCTCACGGCTCATGCCAAAATAATCCAACAATAATATTTTTTCACAATAAAGAGCTCACGGCTCATGCCAAAATAATCCAACAATAATATTTTTTCACAATAAAGAGCTCACGGCTCCATCACAATGAGTACCAAAAATCTTACAAAAATATTCAGGAATAAATAATTCAGGAAAATAATATTTAAAAATCTTTAATACGTTGCTTCAATATCAAATTTAAAAATGTCAAATACTTCATATTAATAGTATTTAAATTAAAGAAAATCAACCTTCAAAGTATAAAAAAACCAAGTTTCAATTAAACAGGTAAAACAATTAGCAAAAAAAGGTCAAACAAATTTAAAGTATATATCTCAGATCAATGATGAAGAATATAACAAGATAAAATAATTTAATAAACGTGCAACAGTGATCTACACAATTTTAAAAAAAATAGTCTTTCACATTTAGCCCGTGTACACACTCGTCACCTTGTATACACGACTTTCAACACGTTTTAATAATCACATCAAAACCAATCCTAGGGAAATTCCCCACACACAAGGTTAGATAAGTCATTTACCTCGACTTGCTCCAATGTTATCAAGTAGTATGCCTTTTTCTCAATTTTTCGATTCTGGTCGACTCGTATCTAGTCATAATTAATTTGATACAGTCAACAAAAATTATAGAATCAATTTCATAAGAAAATACTATATTTTTCAGTAAAAATCCGAAATTAACTCAAAAATGGCTCGTGGGGCCCATGTCTCGGAACTCGATAAAAGTTACAAAATCCGAAAGCCCATTCAACCACGAGTCTAAACATACCAATTTTATCAAAATCCGACCCCAACTCAACCCTCAAAGCTTCAAATCTTATTTTCAAATCCCTAAGTTCCAACCCCCGATTTACAGTTCAAAAATATGTAATCTAGTCGGATTATTTGATGATAATTCAATATTATGGAGTAGAAATGATCACAAGGGACTTACCTCAAATTTTCCCGTGAAACATCATACGAACTTAGTCGAGCCTTCAAATCACATCCAACAATATTAAAACACGAACCACACATAGATTCAAGCCTAATGAACTTTGAAATTTTTAATTTCTACAAATGACTCCGAAACCTATCAAATCACGTCCGATTTACCTCGAATTTTGCGCACAAATCATAAATGACATAACGGAGGTATTCAAATTTTTAGAATCGGATTTCGACCCCGATATCAAAAAGTCAACCCCTCGGTCAAACTTTCCAAAAATTCAACTTCGGCATTTCAAGCCCTATTCCACTACGGACTTCTAAATAAAATTCTGATCACGCTCCTAAGTCCAAAATTACCATACGAAACTGTTGGAATCATCAAAATTCTATTTCGGGGTTGTTTGCATATAATTCGACATCCGGTCACTATTTGAACTTAAACTTTTAATTTTTTATTAAAATTCTATATCTCGGGCTAGGGACCTCGGAATTTGATTCTGAGCATACGCCTAAGTCCCAATACATGATACGGACCTACCGAAACTGTCAAAATACTGATCCGAGTCCGTTTGCTCAAAATGTTAATCAAAGTCAACTCAGTTAAGTTTTAAAGCTCTAATTCATATTTTAATTAATTTTTCACATAAAAACTTTTTAGAAAATTTTACGGACTGCGCACGCAAGTCGAAAAATGATAAATAGTGCTTTTCGAGGTCTTAGAACATAGAATTAATTATTAAATTTAAAGATGACATTTTGGGTCATCACAGTAACGTTCCTGTAACAGTCATATCCTGAATTGCTTCTTATCCGGCCGAAGGTTTGTATCTAGTTTTACTATGGTTGAGGTTTGTATATGGCTTTACCATGGTTGAGTCACCATTGACTAGTTATTCTTGACATGTGTCGCTTCTTAATTCACCCAACTCTTGAGACTGATTTTTACCATATACATATAGTTCCCCCACTTATCGGTTACTACTGTGATGTGACCGGAAAGTGGAAGATTTTGTCCTTTCCACCCTCGTTTCTGCTCATAAAAAATCTTACCGAAAAAA